CGGCAGCGTCTGTGACATCACAGTGGCACCGCTCCCCTGGGGCTCTCAGCATTCCCAAGGCACTGAGTGTCTGCCGGGCTTCGGCACAACAGATCTCCCTCCGCTTCCCCCCCCCTTTTTTTTTTTGTTTTTTTTTCGTTTTTTTTAAGGTACGTTTTCCACCAAGCTACCCAATTCCAGCTCAGGCAAGCTTTAGAATTGCATCATTTCTAAAAAGCAGCTTGCTGTCTCTCCTGTCCCCCACAGATCCAGCAATAAGTACAATAAGTAACCATGAATGAGGTGCTGGAGACCCTGAAGAAGATCGAGGACAAGTACAAGCTGTTCCAGCAGCAGCAGTTCACCTTCATCAAAGCCCTGGAGCGCACCCGGGAGGAAGCCCATGACATGATCAGACCTGTGTCATCCATTATCCAGGTACAAATCCCTGAGCCATTCCATCCCAGTGAGGAGTTCTCATTCTGCCGTTTTCAAAAGCACATTTTCCCCCTGTGCAGGTGCAGTGCTACAAGGACCATCACTGCTTCAACGCCACAGACAGGCGCATCCTCAACATGTTCGTGTCCCTGTGCAACGAGCTGCGCTGCCTGTGCCAGAAGATGGAGACGGCTCACGCTGGGGACAGTGTCACCCACGGCCTTTTGGAGAAGTGCAAATTGCTCCTGAACGACAGCAACGACCTCACTGCCCTTCGAGCCCCGTAGGTGCCTCCCCAGCCCGGCTGAGCTCAGCTCCTGGGGGCTGGCACTGCACATTCCTCCCTGGCTTCTGTCCCAGTCCCTTCCTGGCTGTAGGGAGGGTACAAGGTGCTGCCCAGCTGCCTGTGCCAGTGTCCCTGCACACAAAGGGTGCTGCTCTGTTTGGCCATCCTCCCTCGGGTCCATGGCAGGGCAGGGGGTGCCCTGAGGCCCCTGCAGTGCTCAGGCAGGTTCCTGCTCTTTCCTGTGCACTGAGCCAATTTCTGCAGGGCAGTGTCTGTGTGTCCTGTCCAGGACTCCAGACTTGTGCCAGGGTGGTTTTTGGCAGGACTCCTTAATCCATGTCCAGCTCTCTCTGTGCTTTTGGGGAATGGCTGCCTGTGCACTGCTGCTCTCCCTGGGGCTCTTAGAGTGGCTCCCAGAGCTGTTTGTTTCCCTCTGTCCCACAGGTACCCCCACAGGGTTGTGAACTTCCTGAGCGTAGAGGAATCAAAGCATCGCTATGGAGGGGTGGTGAGCTTGCTGCCCATCGTTCTGGACACCATGAAGGCCTGGGTCACACACTCCAAGAAGTACCTGATCCCCAATGTGAGTCATGCACCTGTCATGGCCTAGAAGCACAAATCCCCTTCCCAAACAGTTCCTGCTGGGCACTGTGCAGCTCAGACCTCCAATAGTAACAAAAATATTGTGTTATTGCAGGAGAAACAGTGTGAGAGGTGCAAGTATGAAGACCCACGTTTAGGAAAGAAAGCTCCCTGGGTCCCACCAGGGAACACCTCCTGTTAGAGGATCAGAGCTCCTGCGTCGTCTCTGCTCAGCACCTTTTAGCACCTGGCTGATCTAATACAGTGCAATCAACACCAGAGAACCGTCCTGAGCCCACTTTCTGCAGCCAGCCCAGCACACAAGCGTTCCCTCTCCCTTGCTGATGTTTGCACTCTGCCCTCACATCCCCACAGAAGCAGCTCCAGCTGCTCCCTGGGGCCAGCACTGCAGTGGGAGCAGGGATCAGTCAAGACTCATGAGGTTCTTATCTCTCACACATGAATCTTGGACAATCATTTGAAACAGGATTTTACATTTTATGAGCCTTCTTCCTGAGGAGCATCCCCTCCTTGTCGCAGGTATGGGGTGAAGAAGCTGCCTGCGTGAAGGATGGGATGCAAAGCAGCAAAGGCCTGGCATTACAGATTCATACACGTCCCTGACATTTAGACTTGTCTCTAAAGCTCCCTCAGCCCCACAGAAACAGTTTGGCTAGCGGGACCGCACACAGTCCCTGTTTACAGAACAAACTTCCCACCCGCCCATCACTTGGCACAGGATCCCGCCCCGCT